TATTGAATTGTCTTATTTTATTAGTTCATCACTGAACATAATATTAGTGATACCAGGTTATTACATCTTGTTAATATTGAATTGCTTTATTTTATTAGTTCATCACTGAATGTAATATTAGTGATATCAGGTTATTACTTCCTGTTAACACTGAACTGCCTTATTTTATTAGTTTATCACTTGAACGTAAACTTAGTGATACCATTTTAATGCCGTTTCTACTAGAATGCAAAGGAAAAAATAGCTGAAGAGCAGATCTTGGAACCGATGAAGGAAGAAAATAAAGCATTCAGAGATGTATTTGAAGAAGAAGTTAAATCACCAGGAATTAAACATGGAAGAGTGTTCACGAAAATTTGAAAAACGAATAAAGAAATTAATATTGAGAATCATTTTGCAATGCAGCGTTATCATCATCTTTCCGGCTTTTGATTTAAGTATCAAAGCCGCTACTAATAGACGAAGAAAACAATTGTCGAAAGCAAATGGACAATTGAATATTATCTGAAAGGCACCAGATGGAACTGAGGGAAAGGCTTTGCTGTGAATTATAGCCGAGGAACTGGTCCAACATGGAAGAGATCTAGGTGCCGTCAAGGAAAAAAAGGAAGACTAATTTGAACACTGGTCCATTTTCTTCCTATTTAAATGTGGTGTAAAAATATTTGTTAAAAACTTAAAAATTTTGGCCTGAAGTTTGGAAACTTATCAGAGAAGTTACCTTTTCTCTTTAAGCTAAATGAGCGAGCCGAGCTTATTAAACTGTTCGAATTTTACAGAACTTTTCCCTTCGGAAAAAGTCTCTCCGTTGGGGGAGAGGTTAGAGGTTGTAACAGATTTAAATAATATTAAAATCTTGTAGTTTAAATTAATTTAAATAGAATGAGCATTAAGGTATTTGTGAATGGCAATATTTGAAACGCAGACTCGAGTGCCACGTGCGACTCTCACACGAAGAATGTATTTGTTTATTTTTTAAATGTTAGAATATGTTTTCTCTTCTTGTTTGTATGTCGCCATTTTTTGAGTGTTAAATAAAAGTTATTGCTGTGTTCCATCATTGGAGTTGCTTCATTTCGCCAAAGAAGTATCACAACGGACATGAGTGTCTATTATAACTGTTGAATGTTTTTTTGTTTGTATTATATTAACCTACGAGTATGTTCACACCAAATTTTATTAAAATCTGTCCAGTAGCTCTAGAGATCATAGATCAAATACGAAAATTCTCTTAATTTATTTCACCAGTGCATGTAGAATGTTTCGTTTTGAGATGCCAAGCAGGTACACAGCTATAGTGTCAAATTATTGATCACACAAATTTATGCTAAAATGATTGTTTCTTAAATAATGAGGTATTTTATTTAGTGCCGAACTGAGATTCAGAATCAGGACTCTCCACATGTTTTATTTTGAGGAGGGGGGAAAAAATCAAATTCACATGCGTAAGGCATGCTCTCAAAAAAAAAGGGGGGGAGAGGGTGGTGGTAGCTTTGACGTCCGGATTTTAGATCATTCTGGATATTAAATGCCTGGATCTCGGACTTTGCACTGTATAACCTTTTCTACAGTACTTAATCCATTTAGGCAACCACTGTTTAGTACAGTGGTCACGAACCTTTTTGGGGCCAAGTGCAAAAAATGGAATGGCCACGTGCCATTCCATTTTAAAATTCTATTTTAATATTCTGTTTAAGATATTAAAATAGAATTATTCATAAGTTACCTCAAAATGTTTAGATCTGAAAACCGGAATCAATTTAACAATGAAGGTATTAAAACTCACCTGCAGTCTGCAATAAATCTGAATTTGTTTTAGTAAACAATAAGCTGCTTCAACTTTGACATATTCTTTGCCACGTAACAAGTAATATGATTGGTCCAAACAATTGAAAGTCATAAATTGGATCAATAAATATGTATATCATTTCTATGAAGATATACGGAAAGATTATATCTAGGCTTAGGCTCTATGGCAGTGGCCATTATGCGATAAGTAAGTAAGTGAAAGGTTCAAGAACAGACTAAAACACTTATTTAAATTACATGGTATCATTTTGTTGTGATTTTTGATTAAGGAAGTAATACTTTAGTGGCGTGCTGACTGATGAGGCTCTGTGTGCCGACTGTGGCCCGCGTGCCATATGTTCGCCATCACTGACTTAGAATGAAGGAAAACCTTAGCCAATCAGATTAAGAAATAATTTACTATACATCTAGTGCTTCAATGTTGCATACCTTTTTCTTCTACTTTGCCTTTTTTCTAGCTTACACATGCCACTCGTTTTTCTGTATTTTTCAATGTGTAAAGAGATAGGCTAAGCTTTCAAAATTGTGGGGTGCATATTGCACCCATAACAGCGTGAGAAGCATATATTGTGTCTCCAGAACTGTTTATGCAATAATAAAATTATCTTGAATTTGGTCACATCTGTCTGCAAGTCTACCATTCCATCTACATAGTAAAACATTAATTTAAATTAACAACAGCCTCTTAATGCTTAAATTAATTTCCCCTCCCTATTAAAAAATAGTAATCTCTTTCTGCACTGTGTTATTTTGAGACTAATCTATGTCATATGACTCTTACATAACAATGATGATGTAAATGGAACTAAAGCTCAGTCCATCAGCGGCCGAGCGTTAAAGTCGCTGAACACTGGTAGTTCGGTCTGAGGTTTGAATTCCGCGAACGAACTGGCTGCATGGGCGTTTTCATGGCTTTCCCCATGTGTAACATGCATACGAGCCAGTTTCCCTTAGAAAGTCCTCCATGAAGGCATCCCTCCCCTTAGGCAGAAGCCCGAGTGTGCTTTGCCATAATTAAATACACCACACCACACCGGAACTAAAGCTCAAACAGCCAATAATAGTTTTACAGCAGTATTAATTATCCAATCAGAATGCATTGAAATCCAAAACTAACTCAATCTAAATTAGGATTTCATCATAAACACAATACACTTCAACTTAGAAATAAAACTAGAACTAGAACTTAGAAAGAAAGAAAAATATCCTGGCTTACTAATTCAAATTAACATTCTAAGACTTTAGTAAAACTGAAGCATGTGAAATTGATACAGTAGTATTGAATTGGTTTTGATCTGTACAGAAAACAATATTTCTGTAAGCAGAGTATTACTGCAAGAAAAGGGAAAATAAGTTTTAGAAAGTCTAGGACTACAGAACTTCAAAGCATCAAATGGTTGGTTAGACAAATTTAAGCAAAGATATTAAATTACTTTTTACTTTAAATTATTAAATTACTTTAATTTATTTTAAATTACTTTACTTACATGGTGAAGAAAAATCAGCAGATATGCAACATGTAGCAGACTGGATAAAAAAGTTCAAATCTGTGAAGGATATGAAGCTCAAACATCCACAGTGCTGATTAATCTGGGTTATTTTATTCAATTTTGCCTTAATAAAACTCTATACTTCAAAGAAGAAGAGTCCTTGGTGGTAAAGCTCAAGGGAAATGTCTCACTGTGCAACTTTGTTGCAACATGGAAAAAGAGTTTGAGTAACCACGTGTAAGGAGTTAAAACAAAAATTAACTATAAAAATTCACAATAACTGCTAGTGACTGTGAAGGACTTAAAATCAAGTTAGTAAGGAGTTAAGACAAAAATAAGGAGTTAAAACAAAAATTAACTATAAAAATTCACAATAACTGAGTGACTGTGAAGGACTTAAAATCATCAGGGAGACTTTAACATCCACATGGAAAGAAATGCTTGCAATGCACAGACTTTCCAACAAAGCTGTGTAATGCATTTCCACTAAATTTAAGTATAAAACTGCATTTCATACATTTTTGCTACTTAAACTTTTTTAATTAAGAATTTTCATTAACTTCAAAATCAAATAAATACCTGTGACTGTTACTTATTAATATATCATTTATTTAAAGCTTAACAGAACATGGATTTTTAATTAAATTGCACTTTTTACTATAGAGGTGGCCTTCTTCTATAGTAAGGGAATAATAGTTTATCTTCTGTTTAAGGGACAAAATGTTTGATCCAGTACATGCTCCTTATTGGGAGGTACTTCTGTAATTTTGATATACATATTTTTTGCCTTACATATATATACACACACACAATGTAAGAAAATTCATCAAAATTAATTCAATTAAGAAAAAGAAGTTGGCTGAATCAATCCTTTATTTATTTATTATTATTATTTGGATCTAAGCATTTGCTACTAAATTATTAGAAACTTTGATGAGTACTTTTTACAGTTAATTGAATTTAGATTACCTATTTTAAATGTGTTTTGTTAAGTATATTTACTTGGTTTATTAATGAGGAATTAAAAATATTCACAATAAAGCATAAAATTCTGAAAAACATTTCTTTCACATATATACTATAATTTCCTGCATATTTCTCCCCTCGTGTATTTTTCCTTTTAGTTTTTTCCAGAATATGATTTTGAATTTTTTTTTTTTTTTTTTTTTTTTTTTTTTATTGGTAACAATGTAAAACATATGCACAAATAGGAAAGTATTTTCTGTAAGTAAAATTAATATTACTGTAATTGATAAATGCTTTGAGACACATTAAATAATAATATAAATGTATTATTATGCTATTACCTTAACATGCTATGTTTAAGTCATCTTTTCTAAAATAGTATACACTGCATATTTTCTCTCACTCGGTTTTCAAGCAGTAAAATTAGTAAGAAAAGGGGCGGATTATGCAAATAAATACTGTATACATATATAATGCAATTTTCGACTTTACGAACTTTTACAGACTGAAAAAATATGAAAAGGAATGACATTATGAAGAAATAAATGTCTTTGAAACTATGTAATAACTCACAAAAACATGTAATTTGTAAAAAGGTAATATTGTGTGTTACTAATCATAAACAATAAAGAGATTTTTTTGAATGAATTATATGCAAACAGTAAATCCAGTTCTTATGGTCAGGTATAAAATTATGTATTTTTTTATAACAATAAAAAAATAATTAGTAGAAACCTAGTCTTTTTTGATGGAACTTTATACTCATCCAATGGTCTTTCTGTATGCACTATAGGCTCTCCATATAATAAAGCATCTTCATCATCCACAGCTCTGGGGAAGGAAAAAGAGTGCATTTATTAATATGATGCTTACATATTAAAACAGATTTTAAAAATCCTACTTTCTAAATTATTTATTGTTTATAATATATGGTCTAATTTATTTATCACCAAAACAAAGGGGGGAGTATAATTTTCTACAACTTTCAATAATATAAGAAAAAATCAAAGTTGGTTTTTCCCCCTTAAATTTTATTCGATAGTATCCTTTTCCAATGTATTATATTACTTATTTTCTGACTGGATGGAGCATTTTTTAATTTATAATTTTAATAAAACTGGTATGCTGAAAGAATTTTCTTTCTTACTCTTAAAGTATATTGTTAATAGTTTCATGAAGTTTTATTACTTTAGACACATAATTTAATAATCATTCAAAAATTCATTTAACTAAAGATAATTTTCATTTATAATTTATGCCAATAATATTATGAGTTCACTATGTGCCAATACATGACGTTGTTTTCTAAAACACAAAGTCTATACGATTCTGCAAATAATATCTTTTTGAAAGCAATTATATTTATCTATTAATATCAGTACCCTTTTTCTAAACCAATGTTTCATTTTAGAAGTCAAACAACAAAAACCATTGTTTTGTGCATGCTTTATTATTGGGTTAATTTAATTTGATTTTCTGCATTGTTTAATATGCCTTCATCCATTAATCGTTTCACTAAACTACGTCTGAGACGGCAGAAATTTCTGAATGACCGTGACATTTTGCTTAAATGTAAGTGTAAAAAATTGATCCCCAATTACATTCAAATCAAATCTAATCAAAAACCTTCCAGTCGCATTTCAAGAATTCTGTTAAACTGCAAGCTGGCCTTACTTCGGTCCATCATAAGGGATACACGTAAACAGTTATCCGAAACTGAACATAAGGTCTATAAACTTCATCTGGAACTCGCTAATTCATATCCAAAATTCACTGCCATTGAACAAAAGTCTTGGTCTAGAACTGAGAATACAATTAATTGTCATAAAAACACCCTTGCAGTTAAATTCGAAAAACTTCTTTTACATTCTTCCAATTTAAGTAGTTCAAAAAATCTTCCCATTGTAAACATTTTGCCAATAGTTAATATTTCTAGTACTACTTTATGAGAAGAATAACAGAGAATTCTAAAATATAATTTTAACTTCTCAAACTTCAAAAACCTCGATTCCAAAGATTTTGGCTCCTATTGAAGAAGCTTTCAGGTTCAGTAAAGTTTCTGATTCACAGAAAGAAATGATTAGGCATCTTATCACTCATAATGTGAAATTCAATAATAAGCCTTTGAAGTCTAAATCCTAAATGCGAGATGAAAAGAACTATAATTGCGCGGAAATTCATTCTAACCCGGATATTAGCATATTCAAAGGCTGACAAAGATGGCTAGATAGTCGTCATGGATAAAACCACTTACATTGATGGTGTCACTAAACTCTTAAATGAAGGAACATATATAATCTGATCTCTAAAGATCCTTCACCTTTGGAACTATCAAAAATAAAAACTGCGATCAAATCTTCACAAATCCTTTCAAGCAACTTAAAACAGTCACTTATCCCATCTGTTACGAATTGTGCTAGATTTTATGCTCTTCCCAAAATTCCTAAAAGTGGTAATCCTTTCCGCCCTATTGTATCAAATTTAGGCACTGCCTCGTATCCATTAGCTAAATATTTAGTTTCTAGATTTTCAACTCTATTAGATAATAACATTTACACCACAAAAAATTCAATAGAATTTGTAAAAAAAGTTAAAAGCATTTCTCCTAGAAATTTACTCATGGTTTCTTTTGACGCAAAATCATTATTCACCAATGTTCCAGTGGAGGGTGCATTAAGATGTCTAGAAACCAGACTTCACGAATTTCATTTCTCTTGCATTGAGATTGATGAGCTAACTTCCCTCACTCTGTTTGAAACAAACACATTTTGTTTTCCAAAATAAATATTACAAGCAAACTGAGGGATTAGCCATGGGAAGCCCCCTCAGTCCCATCCTGGCTGATATCTACATGCATTATTATGAATCAAAATTGTTTAAATTCCCGGCATGGTTCCGCTACATAGGCGATACTTTTACTCTGTTTGAAGATAGTAAAGATGATTTAAATAAAGTTCTCTCAACAATGAATTCCATTGATCCTGCTATTCAGTTCACCTTTCAACTTGAGACTTGCAATTCTCTTCCATTTCTCGACATTCTGGTCACACGTAACACATCCAACTTCAGTACTACAGTTCACCGTAAACCTTTATCAGTTTGCCTTCCACCACACTTCAAATCATGTCATCCGACTAAACAAAAGTTAGCTTTATTTTATTTCTATGTTTTTCGTGCTCTTCAAGTTTGCTCCTCTAAACTATCTCTTGATGAAGAACTAAATTATTTAAAAGTAGCTATTGACAGGGGCTTTTCACCCAACATTATTAATCAGGCAGTTAAAAAATTCTCATCTAACACACCAAAAGGCCCACTCTTGCTTTAGGAAATTATAAAAATTCTGCTGTCATTCCCTTCCTTCCATCAGTGAGCAATAAAGTTGCACGTATTTTACAGAAATTTAACTTTTGGGTCATTTATTCTCCCATCAATAAAATTCCGAGTTCCATAGTCAAGGACCCCATTGCGGATTTGAATTCCTGGGGTATTTACAAGATTCTTTGCCAGTGTGGTTTAATTTACATTGGTCAGACTAAGAGAGCCTTAAAATTTCACGTTAAGGAACATGAGGCATATGTTAGAAAAAAGGAAACACAGCAGTCTTCTGTTGCCCAGCACTGTTGGTCTGAAAATCACACTTTCAATTTTTCTGCTGCCAAAATTATTCAAAAAAAGATCTTCCATTTTTGAACTGGATTTTCTAGAGGCATTTCACATTCAAAAATATCTTTCTGTTCTAGTTAACGACCCTAATTCCAATCCATCTTTGCCTTCAGCATTTAGAGAAATTATGTTTTAGTTCTGGTTTCATCAACAGATGGCGCCAGTAGCTGGACTCTTGTCCATTCTTTCTTATCTTTTCTCATCTAATCACTATATCTTATCTTGTACATTTGCACTTTTGCACGAGATGAGGTCATAAAGGACGAAATATCCGTAATTTGAAATTTAGGCGGCGTGACAGATGGCATTCGAGACGTTTTGCATTAATGGTTCTGTGAGACTAAAGGTGCATCCAAGAGATAATAAGAGGTTTTGTAACAATAACAACATTTATTTACAAGAAAATATACGAAAATTTCAATCAATTAGAGATATATTATTAGGCATCTCTGCCTTCCACGTCCTTACACCTTTAGTATCCTGCCTGCCACTGACTATTAGGACGAACGCAGCGCCCTCTAGTCAGAATGACGCTGGAAATACGTAATACTCCCCACCTGAACTCACTTGAGTTCACTTACCATTGAATTTTAAACTAAATTTACATTCAGGAACCATTTAAAATTACAAGAATAAAAATATAAATAGCATATTATATCAAATACAAAGCTTCAAAATTATTCAGTCCTTGACATACAAAAACAATTTACACTTTTAAGCTCCAAAAAAATTTTTTTCAAATATCAAGCCTTAAAATACTAAGCACAATTAAACTATCATTAATACACAGATAGAACATTAACAGGCTGCAAGAGTACATCAACTCAAATAAACTAGCACAATTAAGGATTAATTTCCAAATTATACACAAGTTGTACTGAGCGTTTTATTTGTCCTTTAGGAGTCTGAATAAGAAGAGAACGAACTTTTCCATCTCTTCCTGGATATAGCTCTAAAATTTTTCCCATCATCCACATATTTCTGGGATAACGCTCATCATTAATCAAAACAATATCATTCACTTTAAATGAAACTATTTTACCTGGTTGTGGAGAAATATAAGCTGATCTTAGATTAAGTAAATATTCCTTTCTCCACCTGTTCCAGAAGTGATTCAAAAGTGTTTGCTGATATTATATTTTCTTTACCAAAGAATTCCTATTAACATTTAAAATTTTCATTTTTATGTTTTATTACAGGTAAAGACACCAACCTTTTTTACCAATAAGAAAATGAGATGGGGTGAGTGGAGAGGGTTCTGAGGGTTCGTTGTACAGATACGTGATAGGCCTGGAATTAACCAGAGCTTCAATTTCCGAAAAAACAGTTTCCAATTCCTTCAAAGAGAGAGAGGATCGTCCAACAATTTTCTTTAAGCAGGTTTTAACCGTTCCGTATCTGTCTCTCCCAGAAACCTCCCCACCATGGACTTTTTTCAACTATAAAATTCCAAACTATACCTTTAGAAGCAAACAAATTTTTAACTTGATCATTATCTATCTGATTCCACCATTTTTTCAATTCACTATTTGCTTTTTTAAAAGCTTTGGCGTTATCAGAATATATAGTGGAACATAATCCTCGACGAGAAACAAATCGTCGGAATCCTAACAAAAAGGAATCAGCACTTATGTTAAGAACTACTTCTAAGTGGATAGCTCTTGTCACTGCACAGCTGAATATAAGTAAATAACACTTTGAATTAAAATCACGAACAAAAAATGGTCCGGCAAAATCCACACCGCATACATCAAATGGTGGATGCTCTTGAATTCTATCAGGCGGTAAAGGGGCAACCACCTGCATTCCAGATTTCACTTTGAATCGTCTACAAATCAGACAGTTATTTAACACTTTTTTCACAAAATTACGACCTTTAACAATCCAGAATTGTTCTCGTAAATGTGTTAAAGTTGCATCAACACCTAAATGGCACATTTTAGTATGAGAATCACAGATAAGTAGTTCAACAAATTTATCATTAGATGGAAGAAGCCAAGGATGTTTGGCTCGCATATCGTTACTTGAAAACTGTAAACGTCCCTTTAAACAAAGTAAGTTATTATCATCAAGTTCAGGATTCAAATTAAATATGCGTGAACTCTTATCGATAGTTCCTTTAGAAAGAAGTTGGGTAACTTCTGTACTATAATGTTTGAATTGAGTAG